TGTGGTTGAATGGTAAGTACTTTTTTTATTTTTAACTAAAGAATTTGGATTCGACTTTACTTAGGTACATAGTCGTCTTTGTTAGAAAGCGTTTTATCCCTCAATGTGAGACTTTATAGCATGAATTTTTAATTTAATCGAGCTTTAATATGAATACCAAACATGAGAAATCAAAAAATACATTAAAAAAATGACAAAAATATAGATTAATGACAAAAATAGGAAGAATAGTATTATTTATGCGTTGTTTTTATGGAATGATAAGCATTACAAAACATTTATTTTTAGTAAGGACGACACATAAATAGAAACGAAGGTAATACTTTTTAAAGAACATGTTGTATATAGTGTTGGAATAACTTTTAAACTACCTAAAAGAGAAATGTTAGAAAACAAAGGATAAAACGCATTCAACCAATACTATTTATTTCTTTTTGAATTTATTTACTACTCCCTATATTTACTTCTATCTCCATATATATATACACACACTTCTCACTTTAATATATCAAGTAAATACAATTATTATTTTTCTATTTTATCTTTAATATTAGTTACTTATTCACTAAATTATTTATCAAGACTTAAATTATTCATCAACCAACATGGCATAATTACTCCAAATGTGTATGCCCTCCTCTCAAGCTCATATATAGTAGTGTTGTATTTTTTTAAAAATAAATACTTAAATATAGATATGTGAATTCACGTTTGAAATATCGTACAATATGATGATACCCCCTTATTCTCTAGATTTGCTAAGTGAGGTTTGAAATTTAAATTGTATATTTATTTATTTATTTCTAAAATTGTATGCCCTCATCTCAAGCTCATATATAGTAGTATTGTATGTTTTTTTTTTTAAAAATACTTAAATATAGATATGTGAATTTACATTCGAAATATCGTACAATATGATGATACCCCCTTATTCTCTAGATATGCTAAGTGAGGTTTGAAATTTAAATCGTATATTTATTTATTTCTAAAACTGGATAACACCTCTCTAAAAGGTTATTAATAGTCCCTCCGTTCCTTTTTATATGTCTTCCTTTCTATAAATAGTTGGTCCATAATACTTGTTATTTCATAAAATTAATCCATAATTCTTCCTATTTTACCATTGTGAGATATTAGCCTTGAAAATATATATTTGACCAACATAGAAAAACTAGGTGAATAATTTATGTTCATTGGTCAAATTAATTAATCAAAATAAATTAATTCATATTCATTGATTGAAAAGTTGATTTCAAAAAAAATTAAATAAGGATAAAATAATAAACTTACTTAATTTATTAATGCACGTGAAATAAAAAATGGTGACATATAAATAAGAACGGAGGGAATAGTATTTTTGGTGTTTTAGTTAATTGATTTTTTTGCTTTATTTAAAAGATAAACTCAAGCCTGTCACATTGAAAATTTCTAATATTTTTAGCATTATAATTTCTTTTATATGATTAAATCAAGTGTGTATATTAAAAATAATAGTACTAGATATATGTCATACAATCAATGACTTCAACCAATCACAATACCTTCAATATTTTACTAAAAAATAAAAATACCTTTAATATGGAATTTTTATAAATTTGATGAATTCAGTGATAAAAACCTAAAATTTAAATCAATCAAATTTATATCTTAAATTTACATTTTTGTAAGGTGCACTCATCCTCTCAAAAATTTATATACGTCTTTAACACCCTATAGGGAAAATATTAACAAGAGGATAATTTGATTAAATTTTTCTTGTTTATTACTTATTTAAATTTAATATTTTTCTCAATTGCACTTGTAGACATTGAATTTTTGTGGCACTCTATAAGATGTGTTCAATTAGGATTCTTGGAGGCTATTTAATCCTAAACCCTAGTTCATGATGTCTATATAAAAGGTACTATATTCCTTTAAAGATGCATTTCGAATATTCCACAAATTCATGAAATATTTATAAATAGTCAAATTAAAATCATCCTAGTTCGAGAAATACGCTACTAACGGCTCTCGAATTATGGATAAATTTTATGGAAAAAAAATTAAGGGAGAAATAAAATTACACTCACAATCTTAATCAATATAAAAATTATGTTTCTTCATATTTTATTTGCGATAATAATTTATTTTCTACCGTTTTTTGTTGCAAACACATCTGTTTTACATTAAATAATATCAAACATTGTATTCATAATGCAATATAAAATTATTTGTCAGTACTATCATTTAAGTCTAGTTGTAGCCATTAAAGTTTTAACACCAAAATGATGGCAACAAATTAAGATCCAAGCAGCCCCCACTCTACTTAGGGCCAAAAAGAATATTTTAAATAAATTTTTATTTGTTATTTTTAATATATTAAAAAAAGATAATTATATTTTTTTTTCATTTTTTTTTATCATTGGTATTAATTACTTATATATTCCCTAGACCATTTTTCAAGATCTAATATTAAATATCAATTAATAGGAATAATATGGTAAAATAATCATGCAATTCATTATTTCCTTTATGAGTATGGCAAGTCCAAATATAAAAAATAAAAGTAAACGGTTATAGTAGTATTTGTTAATATAACAAGAATATAATTGTGGTGTGATGGATATAAATGTTTTAAATTTTTAATAAGACATTTGAAATATTGAATGCAAAATTAGATTAGTTGAAACCTTAAACAAATATTGAATACCAATGGAAAAATATTAAAAAATAACTAGTTTTTGTTACAATAAGGATTGTGATGGATAAATAAGATTTCTTTATCTTTAAGCAAATGTTTTAGGCTTGAACCACAAGAATAAGGAAAAGAACATAGTAAAAAGTATTTTTCGTTTTTTTATTGAATCTTGCACAACACAAAATTGAATTAATCGAGGTTTTAAAGCAGTTATCAGACACCAATTGAAAAAAAAAAAGAGTAACAAGCATTTGATCTTTATATGATTCCCTTTTAACCTTCCCCATTGAAATTGAATAACAAATCTATTATTCTCTATAATTGCCAATTATGAAATGATGTTTTAGCTTTGCCATTTAGTTTGAAGCATAAGCAAAGTGATATTAATTATTCATTGTTATTATTTGACTTTCTAATTCTTATCTCCAAGCCAAGCAACTTAGCACTAAATAGACCTTTTAATCTCTACCTACTTTTCTTTTATTCTCTCTACTTTTATAGTCTAAATTTATTGAGTGATTAATAATTTACATAGGTGAAATAAATTAGGATGTAGAAAAAAAGTCTTTAAAGATTGTGACGGGGTGATAAAAAATAAATTTGAATTTGAATTCAGTAGAATTTTTCGATGCAAATTTAAATTAGACGAATACCAAGTAAGAGACAAAAAGGAGAACAATGAAGAAATTAACAATATTTGAAGTAACAACTAACACAAATGAAATGATTTACTCTTAAAGTAATAACACCTTCACATAAAATGAACTAGAACGAGTAATCATAAGAGATTATTTATTGTTGAATTATAGCTCTTAAAGCATCATTTCATGTAAATAAAAACCTTTGCTAATTATTATAAGTTCCAAATAATTATCAAATATTCTTTCCATAATCAACAAGAATCCTCTCCTTTCCAATCACTAACTATTAATCATACAATTTTTCCACTTTTTCTAGACCTTTTAAACCTTTTTATCAAATTGGCCCCATGAAGATGCTACAACTAGGAAATCAATATTACAAAATAGTCCTAAATTATACTAAAACCATCTTTTTGCACAATTAACTAAGTTGATGTCTCCCAAAAAGGTCCTTTAATCAAAGTGTATATTATTCTCTTGATCAAATAGTCATAATGGAATTACAACTTCATGACAAAACTTTGTCTAATTGCCTCTCTCTTTTTATCTAAAACTTTTAGGATTGTAGGCCAGGATTAAATTGAACTTTATTCTTATTCCAAATTTCCAATCCAATAAGCTCCAATTTCTTTCATGTTCTTGTCCCTTTGAACAAAAAGTTTTTTGACAATACAATCTAAGTCTTTTGGAGCCTCTAGTATGTGTTGTTCTTGTTTTCCATACTTTAAATAATAACCTTTAGGCTTTTGGAAAAGCCAAGGGGATCTTGAATATATAGGGTATGTTTGGTATGGAGGAAAATATCGTTCGGTTGGTCAAAATATAAGTTTATTGAAAATCAAGAAATGACTTTTATGGTGGAAGTAGGGAAATTAAAACAAATTGCATTTAATGTTGATCGTCTCTTCTACCTCACACCACTAGGAGCAGAGCTAGGTAGAGGGCAACCCCTTTCGACAGAAACTTACACTATTTTTATATGGTTATACTTATTTTCTATGTATATATGATAAACCCAATCGATTTCTTTATGTGTTCACTTCTTCATAGTTTAAACCTTGGTGAAAATTCTGTCTATGCCACCGCTCCCCGCAGCCCATAATTCCTTCCTACCCCACCTATAGTATTTGCCTAAATTATATACAAATATTTCATGTATTTGTGTGAAGGAAACCTTTTCTTGTATGTCTAAAGAAGAATGGTTACTCAAAAAAGTTCAATGTTGGTATATGGGCCAGTTTTAGAAGAAATCATGAAGCCCATATGTATCAACAGGCCCTGATTAAGTCCATAGGACATTATTGGCCCATAAAAATGAAAATAAATTATCATATAAATGTTTATATAGACAAATCATTCTTAGTAAGAGTGTGTATTAAATAAAACTTGCATCTTTATATCATTTTTCATATATTTGATACTATTCTCATGCTCAATAACATGAAACTAGAAGTATGTACCAACAATTGAGAATTATTTTCTCATACTTGTTGCGTCAAAAACTAAATCACAACGAGCCGTTCTAGCAAGATTTGTAACATGAACACCCTTACGAACGAACATAAACAACTCCATCGAGTACCTGCTACCTCTCATCACGGAGTGGAGTCTCTCCTCACTTCTTTAATCTCGCAAACTTGAATGCACATAAGGAAATGAAACATCAAGGATTTAGGCAAAATATAAAACCACTAGGCATATTCATTCATATATAAGAAAAAGACTTCATTACATAAGCAATTTATGAAACAAAAGAAGTTCATGATGACACGAGGGGAAAAAGCAATATCTAACTGTTTTTACCTTTGCTTGAAATTGGATTTAACTAGTAAAGATCACACTCCTTGTGAGTGTGGATCACACAATCAGAGTTTGGGTAAGAAACACAAGTGAGCAAATATCCCTCTTTCATTTGGTTATCGTCCAGAAAAGATCCGTCAGATTGATCAACAGTGCCCGACTTTATCTTCCCAGCACAAGTTGAGCAAGCACCAGCCCTGCAAGAATAAGGGAGATCGACTCCAGCATTCTCAGCTGCATCGAGGATGTAGGTATCGGAAGGTGCTTCAAACTCGTGTTCAGTACCATCTGGACAAATCAATTTGACCTTGTACACATTCGCTGATACTCTAAAGTTAGAATCAGCTTTCAAGCCGAAGGATTTGGAGATGTTCCTCACAGAGCCCACTGAGAATGGCATTTTAACAAATGCACTCTTTCTTTCGCTCAGAGGTGCGGCTTTGAACATGCAAGTGGAAGGAAGCCTCATGGTCGACATGTTTTACCTGATCAAATTTAAAAGTGATCATGAAATACACAAGTAATAAAGAGGGATATGTTCAAGAAGAATATCTAGTATCGATCAATGCTAAACGATACAATTATGGTACATGTATGAAGCTCAAGAGTTTGACATATCAAGTGCAAAAGTAAAAAGAATCAAATCAACCTCAAGCGTTCATTTGTTTGTCGACAGAAGTCAACAAGTCCATTTCAAGTGTTCAGATTTATCAAAATTCTTTTATAACATTAATGACAAGCATATACATATGAGTACCTGAAGCTATCTATGTATTAACCCAATTCTACCAACAACCAAAAATACTATTGATGTCAGAGAAGCAGCAAAGAAGAACATGCTAGAAACCCAACACGGGAGTGGAACAAATATGACTTTTTGAAATATATGCCATGTTGTAGATGACAAAGAAATGAAAATATGGTAGTCCATTTCTTAAAAGACAAGGCTTCAAATATCTGGAGCATTATGAGAAGAACGAGCGAGTGGCTTCCTGTTCTTCACTCGAAGCTCCATGTTGTGAAGATAAAATCTAGTGGCATAGTAATCTATGATTCTCCAATTAAGTGTCATCCTTGTTCCTTTTACAATGTCGAGGGTATGGCTATGAATGGAAGGGTTAAAATGCACATTACACACAAATGAACAAGAATTAATCTGACATTTGGGATGATATATGCCGTGTGGTAGATGAAAAAGAAATGAAAATCTGACAGTTCATTTCTTTAAAGACAAGGCTTTGAATATCTGGAGCATTATGAGAAGAAGCAAGCGAGTGGCTTCATGTTCTTCACTCGAAGCTCCATGTTATAAAGATATAATGGCATAGTAATCTATGATAGTGTTATACGGTGTTTTCCTTTTACTATTTCAAGACTGATTAGTAATGACATTTTGTTAATATATGCCCTGTGGTATATGAAAAAGAAATGAAATTCTGATAAGTGCATTTCTTAGAAGACAAGGCATTGAATATCTGGAGCATTATGAGAAGAAGCAAGCGAGCGGCATTATGTTCTTCACTCGAAGCTCCATGTTGTGAAACTAAAATCTAGAGGCATGGTATAATGTATGATTCTGCAATCCTAATTGTTATCCTGGTTCCTTTTACATTGTCAAGAATAATGGCAATGAATGAAAGGGCTAAAATGCACATTACACACATATGAACAATTAAATTGCAGTAACAATATCAATATCGTCTCGGACTAAAGAATGTGTTTAATGTCAAGCTATTGTTTAATCATCCTCTATGAATTATCCAAACAAATTAAACGGATAAACACCCTTCATCTACCTTCACTAAATCAAATTACATTAAGAGGTCATCGCAAATCGCAAACACTATCACAAAGTCCCATTTTTTCTTGATATCAATCCAATTTCAGGACTATACTCGAAGAACATACATGCAAAAGCACAAAATCTGCATTATGCGAGTATATATCTAAGCTTTTTCGAATTGATTATAATCATATAATCCAAACCATGAAACAAAGCCAGAGTACTTTCAAGTAACAAGTTAGTTTTTCACCAAAATGTTTCTGCATTCATACTATGACAAAGCAGAACAAACAAACTACAGCTACTACTCATTATTTTGCAAAGAAACAAACAGAATTCAAGCTCACAAGCTAAAAAACCCAGCAAAATTCAAAGTATTCATAAAAGTTTAAAGTACCAAAAATCCAGATTTTCTTAAAGATTCATTTTTTAACACAGAATTTCACAAAATGATGGACAAACAAAGAGAGATCTCAACATTTAACAAGAAAATTTAAAAATCCCAAACACATGAGAAAACAACATGAACATGAACCAAACAAGTAAATTCTCAATACAAACCAAAAAAGAGAATACAAGAATTGCCACAAGGACAAAACAATCTCTTTCATAACCTATGCAAACCAACAAAGTATCCAACAAAAAGTAAGCTCAAAGGTCATTTTCCATCTACAAAAGTTATGCTTTTTGACTTTGAAACTTTGAACTCAAAGCTCACAAGAAAAAAAAAACAAGAAGATTCAAAGTTTCAAAATCCAGCTTTTCTTAAAGACTCAATCTTTTAACACAGAATTTCACCAAATAAGAGATCTCAACAACCAATAGCAAAAACATCAAAAACCCAATTCATAAAACACACACAAAAAAAAAAAAAACATGCCCATGAACCAAACAAGCAGAATCTCCCAACTAGAAACCCAAAAATCTCTTAAAAGAGCAACAGAAAATGAGAAATCTTACCAATATAAGAAGTGGGGTTGGCTAATAATGAATCAAGAACATGAAACTAACAGCAAAAACAGCAGCTTTTCTTAAAGATTCAATCTTTTAACACAGAATTTCACCAAATAATGAACCAAAAAAGTGAAAAAAAGAAGAAGAGAGATTTCAACAACTAATAGCAAAAACATGAAAAACCCAATTCTCAAAACTCAAAAAACAACATGTACATGAACCAAACAAGCAGAATCTCATAACTAATCCCAAAAATCTCTTAAAAAGGTAACAAAAAAATGTTAAACTTCACCAATATAAGAGGTGGGTTGGCTGATAATGAATCAAGAACATGAAAAGTCCAGCTTTTCTTAAAGATTCAATCTTTTAACACAGAATTTCACCAAATAAAACATTTATACAACTAATAGCAAAAACATGAAAAAACCAATTCAGAAAACACAGAAAACAACATGAGCATGAATCAAACAAGCAGAATCTCACAACTCAAACTCAAGAATCTCTCAAAAGGGTAACAGAAAAATGAGAAATCTTACCAATATAAGAAGTGGGGTTGGCTGATAATGAATCAAGAATCTGAAATTATAAGCGGAGTTCACAAGACAAACTTTGGCCTTTTGGATTTATTGAGAGCCAACTAGTATATAGTGAGTATAGGAGGCAGTGTTAGGCAAAGTTGGCAGCAAATATATACAAAGAGTGAAAGTGGGACAAGGAGAGACGTAAACAATTATATTACCCTAAAACCCACCGCCGCCCATGGGTTTCTCTTTTTCACCCACCAAACCAAACAAAAATTAGCCCACAATTTTTTTTTTTTAAATACGTTAAATCAATAAAATATTTATTATTGATTTTGGTCCTTAATGCCTAGTGCTATAGTTTTTGATTTATTGGTTTTGATCCTTAGAATATAAAATGCTATATGATTACTAATTTAACGCAACAAGACAATAATATACATTTATAAATGCTCTGATAACTAAAAGAATAACTTTCACATATAGCAAACACAAAATTCATATTTGTATGCTATAGCAAAGTTTGAATAATTGCGTTTCATAGCAAACATGCTATGACTAGGCTATTTCACTATACATATATACAAAAGAAGCAATTATATAATTCGTTGGCTCTTCTTCAGATTTGTATAATTTCTCTGGCAGGCCATTTGTATAAATTGTTGTCAGCCTCTCGTTTGTATAAATTGTTGAGAGTCTCTCAATTTAATTTTATGTGTTTGTATATCTGTATAAAATTTGAATTTGTATACAATTGAATCGAAATAAAACGTTTGTATATCAAATATCATTCTCTCTCTCGCTTTATATAAACATAAATTATACATTGTATTTTATATAATCTGTGTTTGTATAAAGCGAGAAAGAGAGAAAGGCAAAAGAGAACTGGACAGGAGAATATTTGTATGTATAATTATAAGTGTATAGGACGAAGATATATGTATTTGCATGTGTATATACAATTTTCTCTCGCTTTATACAAACAGAAACACAATTTATACATTTTTGTTTGTATAAAGCGAGAGAGAGTGAGCGACAGAGGGAGAGTGGCGAGCGAGATTTTGAGGGAGAGAGTCAACTGGCAAACAATTTGCTACAGGGCACAATTAAATCAAAGTATGGTTATACCATTTAATTTGAATTAATAGTTTGTCATTATGTACCGTTTTCCCTAACTAAAAAGCATTATACAAGAGTTTCAATATTTTATTACGAGTTTCAATGTTTGTCCAACCCTATAGGCTATAACTATGGTTTTGCCTAAAAGGATTAATCTCAACATGTCTATTTTTATCCTTCATTTTAGGTGCAGTACTTCAAAAGTGAAAAAATAAATAGAAAAACAAGTTACGAACTATTATCAAATTGAATTTGAAATTTTCATAACCAAACACTGATTTTTAAATAATAAAAAGCAATATACTTACACTAGATTTAAAAATGATAGTTACATTGACCACTAACATGTATCATTTTTATATAGATTTGTCCTAGCTTAAGATGGAAAGAACAAATATCATAATTAAAAATATTGTTGGACTACAGTTTTTTGGCAAATAAGAAAAAGTTGGCTGGTTAAGCAAGTGGCACTGATCACATTAAGACAATAATTTTTAAAAAATTAGTTCTCTTTGTTTATTAGTAGGGGCATATGCTCTTTGATTATTGTAGGATAAATTATTTTTTTTCTTTATTGCGCCAAATTCAAGCACTCTAGGTGGCTTAAAAAACACGAGCATTTCTACCCAACATTTGGTAAATGGATGATAATCCCAAAATAAAATTTGAAATAAACTATATTCCATATTTGATTTGGAATATTAGCTAATTCCAGAATAACTTCTACACTAAAATGGTGAAATTAGTAACAATATGAAAACTGGGATAGCTAATCTAATGGAATATCCAACCATTGTACCAAACGACCCCTTTCAGTATTCGAAAGAGGAAACTTCGAGCAACAATAAAATTATTTTCATACGACTTATGTCACCAATGTAACATATTCAAAAAAGGAACCTTGAAATAACAATAAAGTTATTTTCATGACTTGCAGGTCACGAGTTCAGGGTGAAGGGGAAAATGTAGCAATTTGTTCGAGGCCATAGTCAAAATGATATTTTGAAAGGCACGGAGAATTGCTTATTCAACAATATAGCCAACCTTCAATGCAATAATCGTCACTGTTTATAAGACGACCTTGCTCTGCTAATTGGCTATTCCCCAGAAGTAAATAAAACTCGAAAACCAAGAATGGGGGATAACAAAAAGAATTCAAACAAGAGAAACACTACTACATATCATTCAAATGAAATCATCATCAATAAATAAGAGAACAAAGAACAGAGCTCTTGAAAAGAAGAAAATGTCTCAGCAATATGATCGATCCTTATAGTGATGTAACATTCAAAACATAATCAAGGATGACTACTATCCAAAATTTTCATTAGTATCTATCTCTCTTACAAGAAGAATGCACGAAAAGCTCCAATAATGAGACTTGTCTTCTTAAAAGACACGTTGAGTCTTCCCCATGGTGCTCTTCAAGTACAAGCACCTTACCTGTTGTGATAAAACAATTGAAACAGATTAATAAAAGAAAAAACTGTGGTAACGATCTAGAACAGTAATTCAATGACAACTTCAAATGAGATGGATGCTGGATGGACTTACATTCTGCCAATTCTTCTTTAGCAACGACACTAAGAAGTTCACACTCATTTGCACATTCTGGAAGATTTGTTTCTCTTCCATATCGCAGTTACCAACAGCAACACCCATGCAAAGCACCTTCTTCAACTGGAACTTGATGGTAGCTTTGGTCTCATTAACCTTGGACTCGAGTGACTCCTGGTGGGAAACAAGGGTTGGAAACTTACCTGCATTTAAAATCATGTAGTGTCAGTTAAAAGATGATCATCAAGAGTAATCACTTCAACCAAGAACAAATTTCAGAGAACTAGTACAAACTATGTTGGAGAGTCCGAGCAAAATAGAGTACAAGTGTTGTACAGAATACCAACAAAAGATCTATAAAAAACTTGCCTGCCTTGTTCAGACCAGGACCCAAGAGACGAGGAATCTGCTTGATGACAGATTCTGAAGCCAAGAAAGCATGGTATTTCTTTGCAAGCTTCTTAACTAACTTCTTGTTCTTATTAAGCTTCTTGAGGCTCTCAACATCCATGTATTCCAAACCGATCTTCTCTGCCTGCAAAACACATGTGCCAAGTTCTGATTATCACCCTAGAAAAAACTGAAGATTCAGGAATGCTTCATCTAACAGTAGCTTTAAAATATTTTATAATTAATACCCACAAAATTTACCATCAGCCAGAAAATATAGAATAAACATCATAAACCGAAAAAGTAGACGATCACCTAATAGGGATTTGCGCATAACTTGCAGAAGTACTACGAAGATTTACCCATCGCAACTAATGGGACTTATGATGGCATGGCATCTTTAAGCCAAGTTAACACATTATTGAGCTGTCGTGCACTTGCATAACGAAAATGGCAAACTCACAGTTGACAGACAATTACAACACATAATCAGTGGTCCATGAAGACTCAATTGACTATTATCAATGCATTCTCTTTCAGTCTTATCAATTAATAAATTATAGAATTTTTTAATTAAAAAACAGTTTTCTATCAATTAAAGGAGTGATGATAAGATAACCATGACACAAAAACCCATCTTTTATTAGTGAATTAAAAACCTAATTTTGTACACTAAAACAATGATATCTAAAGGTGGCAACAGAAATCCACTCAGCAGTTGCATATGCACTTCCCAGGTAGTGTATGTGATTTAGAAAGTAAAAAAAAAGAAGCAAATCCAGCACAGCTAGTGACAGTATGATTACCTCCCCCACGTGTTGAGCATCTCCGAGCATGCAAATCTTCATCTTAGGGCGTGGAATGTGAGGCAACCTCACAGATCCACTGAAACGCTTGTCCTTTTGGGGATCATAGTTCTTAAGCCCAATCTGGAGCTCAATAGTCTCGGAGAACTTCCTCTTTTTCTCAGCCGAATCATTCTTAATTATAGAGATGGCTTCTCTAAGGGCCTCACTCTGAAGCTTACTGTAGAAAAGTTAAAATTAAATCATTTTACGCAAATGTTGAACAACACGAAGAATAAACAGCAACGCTAATGTTCGTAACTAGAACGTACTAAGAGGCCAACATGTTTGCATACTAAAAGTAGCAAAACAAAGAGTGATGCACATTTCAAAATCTCAGCCAAATATTAAAAAACTGTAGAAGCAACAAAAGGATCTTTGAATCAACAAATTCCTAAGCAAACCCAAAATTCAAAAATCCACATTACTTTCACTTTTCACATAAAAAGGAAAAACTCCTCAGGATAGTACTCCTACAAAGAAAAAGACCCATTAATTTATCTTCTATATGACCCATAAGCAGAGGATATATTGGAAGCAACCTCTCTACTACACAAAGGTCGGGGCAAGGTCTGTGTAGCTCTCAAGACCACAATTGTGGATTACAATAGGTATGGTTATTGTTGACACCCAAAAAAGAGTTGTAACTTGCCACTTGCAACAAAAAAAACTCTTTGAGTTAACAAATTTCTAAGAAACATCAAAATCCAATTGGTTTCACTTTTCACATAAAAGGAAAACTTCTCAGGATAGTACTCCTATGAAGAAAAAGACCCAAATTTATCTTCTATTTGAACCATAAGCCTCCTCTATCCAAAACAGTACCACACAACAGTTGAGCTAAGGCATGCATAAACTATACCCTCTCCAGACCTCCCCTGTGGTATTACACTAAACATGGTTGTTGTTGACACTCAAAAAGGGGTTTTTTAACTACACATTTACACGGTGCAAAAACAAACAAATCCTATAAAATTCATCAAAGTGACCAAATTAACGTCAACTATTCATACAAATTAGCTTAACAATTTCCTACCAAAGCACAAAATACAGAAACATCCACATATCACCAAATTAACAAATAAAAAATAAAGTAACAATTTGAACATGTAACTAAAATAAAAATCAAAGCTTTCCACATACCTCATGGCTCAAATACTTCTCCTTTCTCCTTCAAAACTTCACTTCTGTCAATCAAACAACATAAAAAAAAATCAGCATTCCAGCTAAAAATTACCAAAATTTTCAAAAAAAAAAAAAAAAACCTCGCACCGTTAATCTGTAGATCGAAACCTAGAAATGGAGTCCCTGAGAAGAAGAAGTACCTGTATGAGAAAACCCTAATTAGGGTTTGTGAGCGCCGTAAGAGTGACGAAGGGTAGCTCAGTATAGTGATATATGACTTTATATACAAATAGGGCTACAATGTATATATTGGGCCTTGGAAATATTTGAATTCTAAACAATTTGCACCAAATAGCCACTTTTATAAAAATGTAATTTAAGTTTTGGTCAGATTTTGCAAATATGTTGACCACCCAAAATTGTGTTTAAACTTTGAAGATATTGTGTTCTAAAGTTCGTAATTCAACTCTAGACGTGTATTCTGAAAGTTAAATTGTTGTGATTTCAATTTCAGATAATTTGAGAATAAGAAAGATGCAATGTTAGTGGTGACTAATTTAATGTATTTCGTAGATTAGGATGAAGACTAACTAGAATAATGCAGATGTTTGTAAAGTTGACTTAAATTTGAATAGTTTAGTTCAAACTTCAATTTGTATTCCTAAAAGAAGTTGATGATGAAACTTGTAAAATTTGAGATTCATGCTTGATTGCAAGATAAATAATTTTGTGATGTGGATGTTAAGAAGGAGCGAGAAAGAAACATAAAAGAAGCATGTAGTGAGCGCGGGGAGGAGAGATAAGAAGAGAAATGAACGGTGATAATATTAAGTGTTGGCTAAATTTTAAATAATGAGCAAATTTTGGTTCAAGATTAAATATGAACCCAAAATATTGTACAATTCGTTATATTTAAATGTGTTAAGTGACTCTTATCATAAATTTAAGATGATTTGTTATGTGTTTTCATCTTTTTATAAATGTTGTTTTTTGTATTTTGTTATAGGTTTGATATCTATTTCAAAATTTGATTTCTTGATGTTTGCATTAAGAAATCTCACTTTAGATGTACAATGCTTTCAATTGTAAAGAGATTCAATTTGCGAAGCTCAAACTCAACATCTTTAGTTTAAATTTAAGAATACTTATCACAATTTTGTAAAAGTACTCACTAAATACAAAAAAACCAAAAAAATAATAACCAAATATGCCTTTGAATGGATGGCTAATGAGAATTGGAGACCTTTTTTTTCTTTCTTGTTGAGCCAATGATATTTGCAAGTTTCAAGACTTTGGCTCATATGATTTAGGGGGAATGAGAGAGATAACATGTCAACTTGTATATAGTACCTTTAACTCTTATTTATTTGGTGTATGAGCTCGGTTAGATTCAAATTTGTATATTTTATTATCTATTTGGAGGCAGCTCTTTCAAAAAAATGAACTTTTTCATTCATATGGACTTCAACAATCAATGCGAGAAAGATTGGAGGAATTTCAATCATCCCATCACAACTCATATTGATTAACACTTTTTACGCACCGACTATGATCAATTGTGGTTTCCTTCTACAATAAAATGGAAAAAACAAAAGAGGACAAGTTTGAATAATTTTGCAAAGTTCAAAAGTAATTTTGAATTTTTTTTTCATTTTCTTTAGATGTGTATTCTATAGTAATTTGAAATTGTCAACATAGATAAAATATATAAGATGGAGCTTCGTTTGAAATTAAAAGCATATATGATATATTTGCTAGTAACAAGGTCCTTTTGAAGTAAAGGTTTCACATAAGAATTAACAATTAATTTAAAGAAGTTTTAGAAGCAAATTTGTGCCTTCTATTTTGTTGCTAAATAAACAATATGCTCGCAATTAAAGGGATAATAAACTAATGTCCATTTTGTTATCTCTTTCACTTGGAATATTTTTTAGTGATCTATATAATTACATGGTTTGATTTGTTTTAAAGAGCCCAAAAACAAAAGAAGATGAAAAAAAAGGGGAAAAAAATAATCATTTTTGAATAGTTTAGAGTAATCATATGAGTTTAACATAATACATGATTAAATATTTTCGAATATTCATAAGTAAAAGGATTAAAAATGCAATTCTCCTTAAGTTTTTTATGGAAAAGTTTGGAGGCAGAAGACATACTTATAGCTTACAACATGCTAATAAGGATATGTACGACAAAGCCAAGATTTGAGTGAGTACAGTGGGAAAAGATGTAAGCACTTTCTAGTTGTGTTGGGGTTGCAACAAGGATCAACTCTTACCCAATTTATTTTTGTCTTGTTGATGGATAAATTGATACGAGATATGCAAAAGAAGTTACCATGGTGTATTTGTTATTTGGAGATGACATAATAATAAATTAATAATTGATCGGACATGCTACATAATTAAAAGAGGTAAATCCTGAAGTCTAAAGGGTTCAAGTTGAAAAGGACTATGATGAAATAGTAGAAATGCAAATTCCTAGTACATAACTCATGTGGCAGATATATAAGTGAAGATTGTCAAGTTATCTTTGAGAGAAGAAATTTTAAGTATCTTGGTCAGTAATCTATGAGAATTGAGAGATTAACGACGACGTTACACATCATATTGGAGTAGACTGTATGAAGTGGAGGCTCACATTCGACATCTTATGTGATAAGAATGTGTCACTAAGACTTAAATGTAATTTTAATAAAATGTTTGTTAGATTAACTATGTTGTATGGACAAAGTGTTAGCCGATCAAGAATTCATACATCCAAAAAATAAAAGTAGCAGAAAAAAAAATGTTGAGATAGATGTGTACACATAATATGATCAATAAGAGGATATAGAAGTCAAGGATCATGTATGTTAGTTGGTAATCGAGCTCCATCTAATTTTTCCTATTATTAGCTCCTTTCTACTATCTTATTCAGGGACGCATCTACATTAGTGTTAGGGTGTCCAATTGGACATTTGTCGGAAAATTATACCGTATATTAAAGTAATACGATTTAGAAAGTGGTTAAATAAAATATTCTGGACACCCTTGACACAACTAGGTGTTGTAGCCTAGTTATTTTAGGTGCCTTGAAAGAGTCAAGCCTTTAAGCCTTTGTGAGTTTGAATCTCGCTAGCAGTGATTTTAATTACGTAATTTAATTTTTTTTCATGTATATTACGTAGTTTAATTTTAAAATTTCTAGTGCACTCATCCATTGCAATTCTTGGACACCTTTCATGAACTTTCTGGCTACGCCACTGATCATATTCTTCAAATTTATTATATTTATTACCTATTGTTTTTATTTACTTTAGTTAGCGTATTATTATTTGACCTCTACATACAAACCACTTATAAAATTATGTTTACTTAGTCAGATATCACAAAGACTAAAATTAAAATTTACCAATAATCGATTTTTATATTTATTAAAATAAAATTAAAAAATGAGAGAGAAGACTTTTCCTTTAGTAAACGAGAAACAGCGGTCCAAAAATCTACCGGTCTAATATAAACCCATCAAAAAAAAATCCAACCGGGTCGAGCTAGGTTAACAATATACAGAAGCTCAAACCTCAAAGCAAATCATCGCATTTTCTCAAGATTCATCTGTTTTCTCTTCAAATTAGCAGATCTAAGCAAAACCCAGAAGAGATTTTAAGCTCAGAAAATGGAATCAGCTGCTAGAAGAAGCGGTGGTGGTGTTCTTGAAGGATTTTACCGGCTTGTTATGCGCCGTACCCCTGTCTATGTTACCTTTGTCATCGCCGGCGCTTTGCTCGGCGAACGGGTCAGTCTTTTTTTTTCTATTTATTTTGTAGAGATTTGGGTGTATTTTGATTGGATCTGAAAATATATTGGTTAAGTTTAATGGATTTGATTGATAAAAGATGGGTTATGTTGCTCGGACTCTTCAAAATTGTAATCGCACCCGTGTTGGATTCTTCAAAAATAATGCTTTTTTGGGTATCCAACATGCACCTGTTGATATATTTGAAGAGTTTGGAGCAATATAGCAGATGGGTGTGACCCATTTTGATGTTTTTCTTGCATGTTGTGTTGTTGTTGTACTGCATCTACGTGGGATTCTTTAAAATGCAATATTTTTGGAGTATAGGATATGTACCCGTTGATATTTTTGAAGAGTTTAGAGCAATATAGCAGATGGGTGTGATCCATTTTGATGTTTTTCTTGCTTTGTTGTGTTGTTGTTGTTGTTGCAGGCGGTGGATTATGGGGTTAAAACGCTCTGGGAGAAGAACAATGTTGGGGTATGTTTGAATTCTCTAAAAGACTGATTGTGCAAAAGTTTCCATTTTTGGCATGCATTTTATGTATCTAGATTGTTTTTATGAGCACACCGAGAAGTTAAGGAGATACAACATATAAATATGTATACATAAAAAGAAATTTAACCTTGTATATTCGTTGTAATTATTTTGGTGAAGAGGCTTAAGATGAGCCCTGTTGCGGCCCCTAGCTCTGCCCCAGGTAGCTATAGGGTTCATTTTTTCAGTTACGAGAACTGTTTTAATTAGGTTGCAGTTGGGATGTCTTATAAGGTTGCTAACTTGCATATATGTCTAGGGAATGACCATTTCTTCACATGATCTTTCCTATTTATTTGAAATATGTTGTGCTTTAGGGTCCTCTATTGTTGTTATGATGCATCTTTTTCATTGACTAGAGTTTGTGAAACGAAGGACAATGGTTGTGATGAATGGGGTTTTCCAAAAACAATAGCCTTAGTATTCGTTGATGGTATTTTAAACCTCTGTCTTAATGAAATTGCAAATATCATGAGATTCTGTAGATGATTAAGAATTTCAAGGGACCAACATTAAGTTCTTTTGGGGGAGTAGTGTTGTAGACTGCTATTGGGATTATGTCTGAAGTTTGAATGATGTATGGCTAAGTGCCTTAAATGGACTAGTTCCCTTTTCAGCTGAATGTGGAAGATGGTCCTACCATAGGTGTCTGTTACCTAAATTTGCACAATTTGAATTGGGTTCTTTTACCTCCTCTGAGGTGATTAAGGTTGCTCAAGTGTTCTAATCCCTCTATCCTATGTGACAAAAATGTTTACCCACATTACAAGACCACCTATGTGACAAAAATGTTTATCACACAGCCTTACATGCTTTTGGTGTTTGGCATCGGATCAAATCTACATGCATACACTAACATGATCTTTAATGCTTATCCTATAAAAAAATACAATCTATATAGTGTATGTCAAATCAAGGGTGTGGCCTAATAGTCGATGAAGTGAAATGAACTAGGGTTTAGATCTTAGTGGTGTTGAAAGACGTTAGATGATTTTATGCACACGTGGAATAGATTCTCTTGCCATTTCCAACTTTGGATTTGGAAAATAAACTTCATCCCTTCTTGATCTCTATCCATGTACCCACCCTGTAAGAATGCATAACCTCCATTGAGAATCATTTATTTTTTATATTCTACATATTTATGTCTTGTTACTCTTCTTGCTAAAGTATTCTTCTTCCCCTCTTCCTCTCCCCCGGTTGTTCTTCTTTATCCTCCAGACCTGATTCTTTTATTCCTTTTTACCAAAACTCTTGGCTCCTACCTTCTATTTCCATTCTTCTTGTTCTTCTAGCATTCAGCTCCTCATTTCTATTGTCTTGTAATTGTTTAAACATCTCCACATTCTTTACCATTTCTGTTATTCTGTTTCATTTTTTATTTTGCCCTTTGATTTTTTCCTCTTGTCACTACTTTCTTTCTTTTCCTACCCTCCCTCTCTTCTTCTCCATTCCCCTCCCCGTTGGTGTTTTTCTTCTTACACCTTTATGTTATCTATATTTATCAGCTTTTACAAGTTTCATTCATGATTCACCTGATTTCTTCTTTACCTTTTTTCTGATTTGTCTCTCCTTTCCCTATATTCCAGCTTGCTTCACCTTCTTGCATAAATCTGATGTCCTGACAATCTTGTAAGCAGATATACTCTTCCATTTCGTACTTTCTATCTGCTACGGCTACCGGTGCAAGTACTGAGTAACCTTGCTTTTCTAGGTTTAGGCAGATGTGCCGAGTTAAACCTAATGTCGGCTCTGTTGGAATGTGCACCCCTGCTCCAATGTTTCAGTTTCCTCCTCCTCTGCTTTCGCTTCCTCCTCTGCCTCACTTTACATCCTCTACTTTCTGCCATAAAATCCAACAACTTCAATTGTGTTAGTTGTTGCAACAACTCAATGTTTGTTGAGTTGCAGCAAATTTCAGAGATAGTTGTTGCAAAAATTTCTTAATTTGTTGAATTTTCTGCACAATCTCCTTTCATAACTTGAATTTCCCCTCATAAAATTTTCTCCTCAAATCTTCACAACCAAAGCAAAAATAACCCGTAGAATGAGAAGAAAAAGGTGATGGTGACGATGTAGAAGATGAAGAAAATGATAAAAGAGAAAAAAGAAGAAAAAAATGGAAAGGGGGAAGGAAGAAGAAGAAAAAAAATAGAAGGAAGAAGAAGAGGAAGGACGGAGGCGATAAAATTCAAATTTGAGATTTGAAATTTAGAAGTGATGATAGGTTCTCTTTAAGAAAGTTCGAAATTTTAATCTAATTAATACTAATTATAGACACACCCAAGTTCCCTTAATTATATTTGACTTGGTCAAAGTCATCTTTTTTCAAATCAAGGCTTGAGACGTCCCTGTAGTGTGAAATCTTCTTGAGTTACGTTGTGGCTGAAATGATAAATGATGTGTACAAGTATATCAGCAAGAAGCAGACCGGTAGGAAACAATAGGAAAGTCATGATGTATTTCCTAAGCAGGCAAAACTTTTGCTTAAGAAGTCGTTGAATGTCTGTTTCTTTTTGCTTCAGTGTAATCAGTCAGTAACTGCATTATGCCTCTACATAAAGAACTCTTAATATAGTGGAAAACTGATGAACAAAACTATGACCTAAAAGTCAAAATATCGATTCAACCTTGCCTCCGGAAAAGTGAAGAGTGACCATTGGTTCTGAAAAAAACATTACAATAGTAAACCAAATTGAACTATGAGGGGTTGTTTGGTTACCTAGATTAGGACACTAGTACTGATTTAAATTTAGGATTGCATTTATCCATCATTTGGTTATTGGTATTAGGTAATATCAAATATAAATTTGAGCGAAGGGTAAAAAAACACACCTAAAGTATCATGTTTTTTCGAGTTTCATACCTGAACAACCAGGTGCGAGAATTTCCTACATGAACCATCACCAAACGTTTATCAAAGCTCACCTCAACTATCCGTTGTTTATTTTTTCCTACCTGAAGATTATGACATTTCATTGAATAGGCTCTCTTATGTGATATTTATTGAATAGGCTCATAATTATCTTTGCAGCTTATTTGATATGAATAGCTTTTAGAAATGCTAGACACATTTTACTGTTATATTCTTGATATTGCTGGTTCCATGTTCATGTTTAATTCTCAGTAGCAACCTATGTTACCCGAGTCCAAAATTGTTGCCACTCTCATGCTGGCTCCTTCAAAAATGCATTACGTTTGGGGGATCCAACATGCACTCATTGACATTTTTGAAGAGTCCGAGCAACATAGTGCAACTCATTTTAATCTTTTGATATCATTCATTTCTAACTTGGAGCTTTTATACTCAAATACAGAAGCGTTACGAGGATATTTCAGTTCTTGGACAGCGGCCTGTTGATGAATAAATTTACAATAATGAAGTTTAATTGAGCCGAGACAGAAGTACTTGTTATCGATTTTTCAATAATCGTTTTGCTAATTCGCCATTTCTGGCTTTCTTTTATATATTTGCTGTAGTTTTGAAGGAAATTCATTGAATGAAATATGATACCAACTTGAAATTTATGTCATATTGGCTTGTGTTTGACACTGGGATGACAGGAAAATAATCGTTATTGTGCCAAAAAGAAATACTTTCTTGCATTTTATATGAAAGTATTTGAACATACGAATTTTGAGATGATGTTTTTGCCCTTCGATTATGGTATTATTTTGTTGTAATGATCGTACCTTTTTAAGTATGCATTCTTTAGCATTTTGTGTTGGCTTCTTCACACTCGTTGGTTTTGTTTTTTGAACGGCTCTGTAGTGCTTTTACTTGAGTCGAGGGTCTATTGGAAACCACCTCTCTACCTCCAAAGGCAGGGGTAAGGTTTGCTTATACATTACCTTCCCCAGACTCCACGGGTGGGATTATATTGAGTATGTTTTTAATTTGGTTATAATTTATTTTTGGTAGTATTGTTATAATAGTAAAGTAACTACAAATGCTATTTGAACTTGGAATCTCTTATTAAGATGGTGATGGGGCGGTTAGTATTTCTTTACCTTTAATTAAAGATTCAGATTTGAGAATAGAGTCATTTTTGATAGACATTGTTTTACTTCTAAAATAAATTACTTGTGTATGAATTTGAATTAGTCGGATTCTAAAATGAATACCGAAGATCAAAACAGTGATAACATGGAGGAATACAATCAAACAAGAAAATCTAAAAACATATTTTGCCCCCAAACTTCTAATGCAATCCTTTGAAGTTTTATCTCAGAGTGTGTCTAATGCATTATGCATCACTAGTTTTATTTCAAATTAAGGCATGATTGATACAAATTTGCCAAAATTTTAACAATTAACTTCACCAAACAGAAGAAAGTTTCAAACTAAGATCTAAAAGCTCCTTGATAAGGATTTTATTCTTGAAATATCCTAATTTATGATCTTACTAACTGATGAAAATCAATATTCTCATGCTACAAGATTTCGAGCTTTCTTGAAGTTGAAGCTGAACTTAAACACACTCATTTTCCTTCCGACATCTTTCTTTTCTTTTTCTCTCATGACTATCTACTTCTGACCTCGAACATTCTTGAAGTTGAACCTGAACTTGAACACACTCGTTTTTCTTGAGACATCAAGGCTTCACGAGCTGATTTTAGTCCCTCCGGAGCTAGTATTTTATCAAAAGAAGAACAATCCATCCATTCCCTCAAAGAACCCTCATGTTCCCATCTATCTGGCACAAAAACCCTACCTTCAACTTCTCTCCAATGCCTCTTCAATTTCTCACTCCCTAGTAACCCTAACTTCTTCGATTCGATGAAAAAATCGTTTGTTTTATCTCCATCATCCACCATAGACAATGATTCAAAGTTCTTGATAGAATCTTGATGTTGACATTCACCTTGTTTATGAAAGTATTCTTGATTTACTTTCATCGTCGTGGAGTTGAAAAAATTGTCTATTTTATCTTCATCATCCATAATTGACAAAGATCTAATGTTCTTGATGGAATCTTGATATTGATATTCAACTTGTTTAGGAGAAAGTTCTTGATTTTCTTTCATTGTGTATACAATATGGTTTAGTATAGATGAGAGTCTTGAATGAATTTATAATAAAGGGGGCTTAAATTGTATACATGACCAATAGGTGGTGAATTGTTATACACGCTAAGACATTCAATTTTTGACACTTTCTTGATTGTTCTCCAAAATTTTTCTTGGAGTATATGTTTTGGTATTTTTCTTCTATGTGTTAGGTAAAGTTAGTAGAGTTTGTGTGGTTGAAGTATATATGATGTGTGTTCTTTTTGTATGTTATATATTGAGACACATGATTATAAACAAAAAAAAAAGTATGTGTATATGGACATCTTATAGTAATGTTAGATATTTTTCCAAAAGATGGAGTTATACCTCTCCAATGGTAAATTTGAAATCATAAGAAAGACAATAATGAAGTCGCTTCTGATAGAGAGTGATTTATCCGTCAACATAAAACTTTCTAACACAAATTCAAGTTAATTAGGTCCCAAAATGGATACTAATTAAGTATTGGACGGAAAGTTACCCTAACCTCCCCCCAAAAAAATTGTAATGAAATCTCTTTTATGCACTCTTACACTTAACTAGATATACTCTAGTTTGCAATATTACAAATCTTATTAGATTTTGATGCATCTAGATACGTTCGTTTACATGTATCTTGGCATACATGAAGTCAAAATTAGGTGTAATTTGTTCTAGATACACTATATCCAAGTGGATTCACATGTATCTGGGATATATTGACAAATCTCGCTCGCCTCCTTCCCATCTCGCTTACCGCTCTCCTATGTATCTGGCATCTCAGATACATGCGAATTACACTAGATACATACAAATGCATATATCTCGAGATACATGGAGTCAAAATTAGGTATAATTTGTTCTAGATACACTATATCCAATTGGATTCACATGTATATATCTAGGATAATAGACAAATCTCGTTCTCCGCCCTCCCATCTCACTCGCCACTCTCCTATGTATCTGGTTTGTATGTATCTGTTGTGATTCGAATGTATATGGGATACATGACTATCTTGCTCGCCTCCCTCCCATATCGCTCGCCTCTCTCTATTTTAGTATGTCTTGTATATTAAACATGTATCTAGGTGTATCTTCCTCAATATATTGTAAAAGAATACTTAATTAGTGATTATATACATAATTATACAAATGAATGCATAAATTAAGAAGCTTAGTAATAAATTGATTACTAAATTCTAGTTTGTTTTTATTGGAAAATAAGCCATGATTGATACAAATTCTCCAAAATTTAAGCAATAAACTCCAACAATTATAATAATAATTCAAACTAAGATCTAAAAGCTCCTAAACAAGCATTTATTCTGAAATATCTTAATTTATGACTTTACTAACTCAACATCAATATTCTCAGCCTACACCTCATACTCAATTTTATCATGAGTATCTACTTCTGATTTCGAATATTCTTGAAGTTGAACTTGAACGTGCTCATTTCCTTGAGACATCTTTTTTCTTCCTAATTATGATCTTCCATGACTATCTACTTCTGATTTCGAGCATTCTTGAAGTTGAACTTGAACGTGCTCGTTTTCCTTGAGACATCAAGGCTTCACGAGCTGATTTTAGTCCCTTCGGAGCTAGTATATTATCAAAAGAAGAACAATCCATCCATTCCCTCAAAGAACCCTCATGTCCCCATCTATCTGGCACACAAACTCTACCTCCAACTTCTCTCCAATGCCTCTTCAACTTCTCACGCCCCGATAACCCTAATTTCTCCGATTCAACGAGTAAATCGCCTCTTTTATCTTCATCATCCACCATTGACAAAGATCTAAATTTCTTGATAGAACCTTGATATTGATATTCACCTTGTTTATCATATGATAGTACTTTTTGATTTTTTTTATTCGTGGAGTCGAATAAATCGCCTATTTTCCCTCCATCATCCACCATTGACAAAGATTCAAACTTGTTCTTAATAGAATCTTGAAATTGATAGTATTCAACTTGTTTATGAGAGATTTCTTGATTTTCTTTCATTTTGGAAGTGCATGCATATTGTTTATAAGAAATGCCGAATTTATAAAAATTCAAATGATAGGTGGCATTTTTTGACCAATGAGTGGTGAATTGTAATACACGTCTAACACTTTTCAATTATTCAACATGAGTTTTTTTTGTTTTCCACCCGGTGTCTGAAGCCTGTATTAGAGTTCCGATTAAATTCGAATCGCGCACTGCAGGGCTTATTCTGGGGTGATGCTCCCTACAAGATTTTCTCCATACCTATGATTCGAACCCAAAACCTCTGATTAAGAATGAAACAGTTTCACCAGTGTATAGCAATCCATGATGGTACATGAATTTTTTGGTCTTGTGGGGTTTCTATGTTTGGATTTTTTTGTTGTTTTTATGTAGGGAGTTTGTAGGGTTCACTTATTTCCTAGCTAGAGTTCTTGTGGTTAAACTATATATAACGTGTTCCTTTTTTTTTCTTTCTATGTTAGATATAGAGACACATGATATATAAACAAAAATGTTAAACAAAAGTATATGTGGACATCTTCTTTATGAGAAAAAAAAAAGAAAGAAGTTAGAATTTTTTTTTCATACTATGATGGAGCCCATTATAAAGTTTGAATAAATTTAGATCGTTAAATTTTAATCACGTAGTTTCTTGTTTAATGTATTTTACTATATGTTACTTCATTTGCTTTTGTATCTTAATAGTTTGCTGTCATTTTTTCTTTTTATGTAACTCTGCTTCGAATAATTTCTCTTTTGAGTTAGAGATCTATCAGAAATAGCCTCTCTACCCCACACAGATAAAAATAGGTTCTACGTACTTACATATTACCTTCCTTTCCCTCAAACACCACTTGAGATTTACACTGAATATGTTATTGTTTTTAAATAGTAGAGTCAAAAAAATATGATGTAACTTAAGTTACTCGATACGCTTGTACCAATGAAGATATCGAGTAACTCTTAATTACACCCTATCAAAAAATAAATAAATAAACTTATCATCAAATTTCACTTGATTGCATTTTCTTTTAGTTTTTTTTTTTCCATTAAATTGATATGTCCTTATTTCTTTTCTTGAGCCATATAATGTAACACTACACATTTGCATTTCCCTATATTTACTGGTGATACTGTGTAGTTAGTGATCAATTAAGTTGCTTCGAAAAATGAAAACGATTATAACATGAATATTTAATTATATATCTTTAATTTACAGGGGAAAACAATACTTTTTATACGTTTAATTTTTTTATAGATATTTTACATGTTCTACATGTATATCTAACAGAAAAACGGAAATACAAAAAAATGACGAATTTGTTCTTCATATACTTTTCAACAAGGATTGATGCGGTTTCTATGAATTTCATTCGATTAAAGAAATTAAACGCTTGTCAGTTAGTTCCAAAAAACCAACAAAGACTTAACTAGAATTTCATTCCGACCTCGATAATTTGAAAGTTATTTTTGTATTTTATTTGTAAGTTACTTTCCAAATATTATTAAGTATAAATTATAGGAACCACGTATTATAAGTACTAAATAACATCTTATCCTTTCTAGTTTTCTATTTACCAAAAATCTCTTAAAAATGATGTTTGTGGGATACATAGTGTTGTGCACGGGATACATTAGGTTTGATACATTCCACATAGCGGGATACATAGCGTTGTGCACGGGATACATAGCGTTGTGCACGGGATACATTCCCATAGTTTGATACATAGCGTTGTGCACGGGATACATGCGGGATACATAGCGTTTGATGCATTCCACATAGCGGGATACATAACGTTGTGCACGGGATACATGCAGGATACATAGGTAAATAAGGGATTTTTGAAAATTTTGAAATAAGTAGGGATAAATGGATATTAAGGTAAGTAAAAGAGTGTAGTTAAGTAATTTTTCCTATTATTAATGTGATGAAACACAAAAATTTGTTAGTAGCAATACATTAGTGTGTACAAACTTTGGGCCGGGCGGCCAAGTTGGGCTTTACCATTTGTCTTTTGGTAATTGAAATCATTGGGCCTTAAATTAGCCCAAGTTACAATCAATGGGTCGGGTCGGGTCGGATCATTATATTTCCTCTGTGAAAACAAGTAATCCTTTTGGTTCAGACTCGGTAAATATGGAGTATGTCGTCTCTGATAGAAAATACTTATCTTTCAATTAAAAAATTTCTGATGCGAATGAATTAATCAGGTTCAAAAATTAATACAATTGTTCTCCTTCATTAATTGGATTAATTGAATTTTTTTTAGCGTGAATAAATTAATCAGATCTCACCTAAGGGCGTAAAAGGGTTCATCTAAATCTCTTTCGTCGTAAATAAATTGCATTAATAAAATTTGACTTTTATATTATGCATTGAAGAGCCAATGAAGTAGTTGTACGTCTCTCTCTAGTCTCTATATTAAAATATGGAACATTGATTACCTCTTCATGCACACCAAGAGGGAAAAACCAATTACATTATTTATATATATATATATATATGATTATTTTTTTCATTTGCAAAAAGACAATGAATTAATGCAAATCCAACTTGTCTTCATATTTCTAAGTTGTCCTTTGTGATTTTTTTTAAAGAAATAATCTCCTCAACAACTTCACATAATTAATTAAAAAGAAAAAAAAAGAAAGAGCAATTAATCAACCTATATTTAATTTGTCTTCAATCTTTTATCAACCCGCTGCCAAAACAACCCACACCCTTTGTCTCCTATTTTTTTTTTAATTCCCAATAAAGAAGGTCCTAAAAAAATATAATATTCTCACCATATTTACATATTGGTCGAATATTTTAAAAATATTATCGTGTATATCGGATTATTGAGTTAGAACAACTTAAAAACACTTTTAACGTGACATGATATTATTTTCTTTGAGTTGAACTCACATGATCTTTTTCAAAAGGATCTTGCTTCATTATTCAATCCACTTCGAATTTGATATAAATTATTGAGTTAAATTAAAACAACTTTAAGCTCTTAGGAATTAATCTACACCTTATATATATATATATATATATATATATATATATATATATCTTCGTTTTCTTTTCAGCTATCAATTTGGAATTTTGTTTTGACACCCAATAATATACAACATTTGGAGGATCTGATAAGAACAATAATTTTTTAATAGAGTCTGAGCAATATACTATATCTAACATTTTTTTGTCGTTTCTATTTAAACGTTATTTAACTACCCTAATGATAAAGCTCCCTCATGCACAATAAAATTGATTTATACATTTACAAGAAAAAGAGTAATATTAATTAATATATATTATAGAGATATCAAGAATGAATAATTATCATCTCATATTTGAGAAATGGTGTTGTGATGCTTGTATCATTTGCAGCTCACTTGTTGTTTGACAACAGTTGTCATCTGCCATCATAGTCCTAGAAAACAAAAAAAATGGTTAAAAGTCATTATACAAAGCCAGATAAATATTATGATATATTTAAGATCCATCACAAAGTTTAGAAGAGGTTTTTTTTTCTTTCTTAAATTTTATTTCCAGTCAAATAGATTTACATAACTTGAAACTGAAGGGATAGTATATTTTAAAAGCTTTATTTTATTTTTTCTTAGTTTCATGTTTAGTGAACTTACGGTGAGAAGGTAAGTATCCCATCATCTTTAATAATTACATATTTCGGGTTGGAGCCTAAGTAATCGAGCCGCTTTTGATAAAAAATGCTTTACTTTTAATGTGGGATTCCTCGAACTGAATTCCAATTAGTCAGACCTCAAAGGGGAATCAAACACCAAATTTTAAGGTCTTAAGTTCAAGCTTTAAGAGTCAAGTCACTTTTGATAGAAAGCGCTTTACCTCCAAAATAGCACTCCTTAAATCGATTTTCGATTAATCAGGCCTCAAAATAAAACCAAACACTGAATATTAAAATCAATCTTGAATTTAATCCTTGAAAATGAAATAACATTTAATAAAAAACATTTTACTCCCTATTTTTTTAAATTTAAATATGAATTTGAATTAGTCGAACTTACTCTCTAGGACGTGATGCCCATAGGGAACTTAAGGCTCTTAATCGACCATAATATTCACCAATCATCATGAAACACCTTGCTGCTTGTCTAATTGTCAATATTCTGTGCAATTGGTGTATCGTTTGCTGCCTCAAATTATCAGCCTGCAAATTGAAATTCACATAAACCCCCTAAAAAAAGTTTTAAAAAAACCTAATTTCTAGGATAGCAAATGACTTTTTCTTAGACACAAACCTAAGACCATTTTTCGGCTTTGTCTTTAAAAAATAATTATTATTATGAAATTTTATAGAATTTAAAACTATATGATAATAGCGAGGAAATTCCATAATAATATCCTGGTGTTTACATATCACATCAATAACTATTTTTCAATTACAAAACTAAAAAATAGTACCTATTTGTGAATTATATATAATTAGTAGAAACATCCTAATCAAATTAAAAGTAATTAGTTGAAGATGGACCACTAAATGGTAGACAAGAGGGACCTAAATGTAATTAATTAAAATTTTCAACATAGTTGAAATTTTGGATCCCTCTTAAGCTGTGTCTTGTCATAAAATATATTTGGATTATTCCAATTATTTGGTTAGTAGTAATAATGTTTTCTTTCAATGGTTTGGACTAATATGTTAAAGTGATGATTATTTAATTTTGTTGATAGCTCTTGCAAGGGTATTTATTTGAACAGGCATCATTTTCAGATAGGAACATATATCCGATTAAAACAAAATTTATAATATTTCAAATGAATTATAATTTAAAGTGGACCTAGATAATAATAATGTAATTTAAAAACTATACCATATATATACTCTTCCATTATTTGCTCACTATGTTTTGAAAATCGAATTTGAGCTAATCAATGATTAATAAAATTACTGTCTTCGTCTCAAATTATCTGTCGTTTTATGCTTCTCGAGATTTATATATATATATATATATAAACCTTTTTGGTGCATTTTATGAATAGGAAGTCACACTTAGGGGTATCCTCTTTAAATTTTATGAAAAAAAACACAAAGTAATAACAAAACAACAAAGCCATAATGTAAGGGAAAAGCATCTTTAAAAGCATTAAATTACCAATTATTGCTAGAGTGGGGACCTATGTATTAGGAATTTGATTAAGCACCCTTAGTGGAAATATATAACATTTGCTTTCACAACAATCAAATAGATTTTATACCAAGTAAATGTCATTTTCAAAAGGATTTGTCAAATATGTTTTTGAAAATGATTTCTTGAGTAAAAAATTTATCAAAAATAATCCTTACTTCACACAAGGCAGAAATAAAGTCTGTATATTGAACATATTGTATATGAAATATATATACATCTTATCCTTAATTTATTTCAATCATAGATGCATGATTAAAAAGGGTAGTTTAGATTCTCCTTTTTTTCAAATAAAATCCCATTTCTTTAAGGGTTAAAAAGTGAGAAAAGCTATGACATAACTATACTTTTTGGAATCTTTCGCCATAGTATGAAAGAAGTAAAGTGCAAAGATTTTAAAGTGATGATATCTATAACAAAAAGATGAGAAGAGAAAAAAATGTCTTGCAATAATCAAGGCTCTGACCTAGTCGTTAATAAAGTGAATGATGAATCATAAGATCTTAAGTTTAAAGAATCTAATAGATGTAAAAACATGTAATAGTTTTATCAGCATAAGCCTTGATGAAAAAAGTATCTGATACATATACTAGTGAGCAATAATAAAAATATATATATATCATATACATGTGCAATCAGCTAACACATATAGCATAATTATAAAAAAAATTCTTAATAGTATAGCCAAAGATCCGTTGAAAACAATCTATTTAATTATATCCTTTAGAAGATAGTGGGAGACAAAGGTGATAAAAAGAGTCAAAAGCCTAGGTTTCTATAAGAAAATTGCCTTTCATTAGTTGTAGATGGTTATTATTTCATAAAAAAAAGTCTATACCTAAAATAACCACTTGCTTTACACAAGAGGCTACAACAAGTCTATATGAATGCATAATGAATTCGCTTCTCCATCTATCTTCACTTAAATATCAGACTTTTATAGGTCAAGATCTTCACTTAAATATCAGATTTTTATAGGTCAAGATATAACAATATTATGTTCATCTAATTAATACATTACACACTGCGCTCTTATACCAGTCTAGACTAATGCCTTAGGGACAAGTTTACATTTGGACTAATTCAAATTAAAAATAAAATTCATAAATAGCCACTTTTAAGCCCTTTTATATTTAAAAAAAAGGTCATCACCATGAAAATCTAAATTTCAGACGTGAAACTTCATGAAATTATCGTAAAGTTTTATATGTGGAACTTTAATCTATGACAATGACTTACGTTTCCAACTACAAGGCTGAATAATGGCTATATCCGCCACTATCCCGACTCACATTGTATAAGGTCTATTAAACGCAAAAATGCTCTTTGCAAGATTTTTTTTAATTTTTAAGCTTAAATTCAAGATCTATGATTAAGAAAATTTTACCTGATAAACAAAGCTTTCGAGATTGGCAAGTTTTCCCAATGCAATAGCCATATGATGCATGCCATCATTGACAGAACCAGTGGCTATAATTTCAATTAAAGATTGTTTTAATTGTTCTAAGCCTTGTGAAAGTGCTTCTTCAGCCTGTTGTGATGATTGTTGGAGACTATAAATTCCAACAATTTGTTGTTGTGTTAAAGGGTCCAATTGTGCAATCAACATCTGAGATGATCACTATATATCGTCAATATAAATAATTTTTGTATTATCAGATCAACGATGCAAATAAAGGTTTTATATTGTTTGGATTCTATAAAAAATGATGTTATCTTCATGCCAGATTCTCAAAAACTTAGCTTGTAGAGAAATTTTTTAGGGAGTTTGAGCAATATATGTATAGTTAGTTATTTTCACTAAGTTACTAAATAATATTTGTCACAAAAATTTATATGTAATTAATTATTTTTTAAGTGATCTGATTGTATATAATATATTATTTTAATTGTCAATACATAAACCTTTAACTAGGATGACAAAATTAGTTCATAAAAACACATCCGCCAATTTGTCCAAGTTTTGATTGATAATTGATTTACCTATTTATTAACTCAACTAACTCATTAAAAATTGGAACGATATGTTGCCCAAATTGATAACTCATGAGAAATTTTGACAAAATTTATATTTTTTTAATTTGATATATAATCATAATAAAGAAATAAAATAATTTTATCAGGTACCAAAAAATTGTATATTAGAAAAACAAACAAAATATTAAATCTTAGTAAGATTTTCACGGATTAAATTATAATTCACTTTTTAAACCTATTTCATCCCATCGTCATTATTATAATAACGTATATTAATCCATCAAATTAGTTCAATATGCTCATTTAACATCTCTAATAGCAAATTAAATTATACTGATAGTATAAAATATTTACCTTGATAAGGTCAGAGGGCCTAAAACCGCCAAGCCAAAGGAACCCGCGCTCGGCAGGAGATGCCCAAATACCAGTGAGGAGGTGAAAGAGATCGGATTTGGCAGCAACTCCTTTGAGTAAAAAAATATGATCATAATGAGTAATATAAGCATCAACAATTATTCTAAGTTCACCATCTCCTAAATGTGCTTGCAATGCTGTACGTAGCTCACACATTTGTCTCTGATCATCATCTAACCATTTTGAATATTCCATGTCAAACATCGACGCACCTGATATATCAATAGCGAAATTAAAAATTTCATTAAGAAAATATATGTATAATAATAATAACAACATACTGATCAGTATGAATTGGTGAGGGTGAAGTATATGTAGACCCTTAATCGTACATTTATGGAATAGAAAAGCTATTTTGACTGATATGATGCAACAAATGTATTGTGCTCAATGGCGGAGCAACATAAACTCGAGGAGTGGCGACCAACACCTCTTCGTTGGAAAATTACGCTGTGTAGCCAGATATAAATATTTTTTTTGATGTATATATATATTTGACACTCCTTGGCTTCTATGCAATTTTGTTTCTTTATATTTTGACACTCGATCAAAATTCTGGCTCCGTCACTGATTGTGCTTCTCTTAATAAAAGGATTTGATTTTGATTTTGAATATGAAAAAATCTTTAACAGAAAATGTTTTATTTGAATAGCTCCTACACAACGTAAGTATAAAACAATTTAATTTTAATATAAATATAGACGAGAAATAAAAAACTAAAAACTAGAAGAGATATTGTCATTTAGAGCACAAAGGATGACAAAAAGAATATAGTAAATTTTCTTTAGTCAAAAATGGTTACTTTTTTCTTGTGTCCAAATTCAAAAACCAAGAATTACAAGCTTTGACCTGAAAAAATGGCTGTAATTTTGACTGAAATTTACAGTTCTGAAAATTCAGATTTTTCGTGCTGCCATTTTTTCAAAACTGCAAAATACTTTATCTTATATATATAATTTTTTTAATCGAGGAGCCATTGGAAACAGTTTTTCTACTTCATAAAAATAGGAGTAAAGTCTGCATACACTCCACACTCTTCAAATCTCAATTTATAAAACTATACCGAATATGTTGTTGATTTTAATTAAAATATATAATGATACATACTATATTCCAATTTTTTTTACCATTTATAAATAAATAAAACTAATTATAACTAAAAAAAAATAATTAAAACTTTACCAGAGCTGATATTGGGACCAGTAGCACCACCTCCCATGAAAATCCCCTGCTTGACATAAACCAATCAACAAAAAAAATAAAAAATAATAATTAATTAAAATCCACTTAAATTCAGAAAATATTTGATACGACAAAAGTCATTTTTGAAGATAAATTAAATTAAACCTGAGATCTAGCCCTTTGAAGTTCTTGTTCTAGTTGAGCAAGTCTTATCCTACTAGTTTCTAGTTGTTGTACATAAGCCTGTAATAAATAAATAAATTATTAATTATGTAAAATACGAAAAACATATACATATTGTCAGAATTTTCTATAATAATCATATTTTATAATGATATTAATTATAATTATCAACTCTTTTTTTATAAAAAAATATTTTTCAATTGGTCGAGAGTTCATTGGATACAACCTCTTTATCAATAAAGAGACTATTTTCAATAGATCCGCGACCAAATGAAAAAAGTAAGTAATTATTATAATAACGTGCTATTACAAAATATAGTTATCTGTGTATATCTTAATTTTTTCAGACTCTGCTTATAAGACTACATCGAGAATAGTGTTATTAGAATATACTCCCTCCGTCCCTTTTTAGTTGTCCACTTTAGAAATGACACACAGATTAAGGCAACAATGATTAGCACAGTGAAATTACAATTTTACCCTTATGACAACTTTCACTTCAAAATTACAACCACTTATTTGAATTCAAGTGAAATAAATTGGAGGGAAACAACATATACTTTTACAATTTTCAAGAAGTGTAAATAAGGGTATAATAGGAAAAAATTTGTTGTCCTTTCTTGATTTGTCAAAATAGACAACTAAATAGGGACAACTAAAAAATGAAATATGGACAAGTAAATAGGGACGGAGGGAGTATGTTTTTACCTTTTTTCTTAGTCTGCTTTTTTTTGCTGCTTCTCTATTTTGTGCTAAACGTCTCAAAGTCTGCAGTAAACAACATTAACAAATATTTTTTTATAAATTTAAAATTAAAATTTACTAAAAAAATCCTGCAAAATTATAAATTAATTATGTGGCACCACCTTAGCATCAGTCACCCTATCTGAAGTTGAACCAACACCCTTCCTCTGCAATAAAATAAAATAAATATGTAAATTGTATGCAAATATTTTATTTTAAAAAAAATAATGCATATAATTGTGTACATTTTGAATTTTTTATTTTTATTTTTATAATATTTTAGAGGTATAACGTGTCAAAAATGGCATATCTTTTGGAAGACTTTTTTGATTTTTGACTAAAATTAAATTTGTAATTATTCAAATACTGTTCAGACTGTAGGCAATATTTTCTTGTTCCGACGATTGACTTTTTTAAATTTGTGATCTTAAACTTAAAATATATAGGATAAAATATTAAATATTTTTCAGATCTTGCAATTTTAAATATGATAGGAAATGTAGAGTTACGGAATAATTAAATATGAAAAAACATCAAATTTCTTTTAAAAACAAAATAAAACTAAAAAGGAATCAAATATATAAATTGAAAGAGAAAAAATATTTTGTACTCCCTCAATTTCAATTTTAGGTTTTTTTTTTTTGCTGATCAAGAGTCAATGATCAAATTAAAAATAATTTCAATATATTCCATATGTCTTTAATTTAAAATTATAATTTATTTTTTATCAAGTCAATGAAACAAATTAAAAGGAGGAAAATCTATAATATAATATATATGATTATATTAACACGACCAAATCCATTATTCTCCTGGATTGTGTTGTTTGAATTTTTCAAAAAATGCAACAGGTACATAGCTAATTTTTTTTAAAAATAATATATTTTAAAAAAATCTAACATAAATATAATATTAAAAATGAAGAATCTGCACAACTTAGATTACGATAAAAATGCTCTTCTCCCCTCATTTCTTGTCAGAATATAAATCAGAAAGAATCAATAAAATGTCATAAAAACTATGCCCTTTGGCTTATTTTCTTGGCAGTTATTGGGATTTTGGGTTTTGGGGCATGATGATCGATTCTCTAAAAATATTATTGCAACTGCATTGAAACTTTCAAAATATATGTCTTGGGAGGATTTATCACACATTCGATAGTATTTTTGAATAGTATGAATAACACATAAATGATAAACCCTTCAAAATATTGTCATAGTTGCATCGGATCTTTTAAAAATACATATATTTTTTTAGAATCCATCATATATTTAATTAACAATATTTTTGAATTCTCCGAGCAACATAAATAGATAATAGACCCTTCAAAAAATATTAAATTCATATCTTTTAGAGGATCGTCACATATTTAATAATATTTTTTGATCGTTCGAAACAACATATAGACGATGATAAATAAAAGGAAAAAAAAAAGAACAAACCTTTTCATTGTTGGATTTTGGAGGTGTTTCTAGTTCCACATTTGCTTCACCTCTACTAGAAATAGTAGTGTTTAGTGCTGAATCTGAATCACTACTTTGTTCTCCTCCTATTGATTTTGAGCTTCCCTATATGCAAATACGCGCTTTAAGTTTTATGCATTGACAATTTCAAAAATATCTATACTTTTAGTTTCAGGATATATAACTCGTCTATTCATACTGTCACACATATAACGAGAGTAAGTAGTAACATAATAGTAAGTGCAACAGAACTAGCAACAAATAGACATTCAATTAGCTTGAAAACAAACTCGTACTTAGAAATTAATCATATGTGTTTACTCAACAAAACTATCTTTAAAATATCATATTTTTCTTCACGATGCTTTGAATTGAACTAGAAGACTTTTCTTAAAGTGGGAAAAAATATATCTTAAATTAGGTTAGAAAATTCATTTCAAGAGTACAATTATTAACTTAAACCAAAATCAACTTGAAAGCACAAAAACACCACACAGGTTTGATCATTTGATCACAAAGAGAAGTTTCAAAATTTCCTTTCATGAGTAGATGTTTTTTTAAAAGATAGTACAGTGCACTAAGCTTTCAATATGATCAAACTTAAAGGAGCGAACTACTTAAATCATAATTTTCTGATCACGTAACAATAAATTTACCAGTTAAGTCAAGACAGATAAATATTTAAAACTTTTAATAAAAATAGGGAAATAGTACTCTTGGGGTGTGATGCAATTTAGTAGGCCAAGAAGGGAACATCTCCAGAGTTGCTGCAGGTCTGTTTATGCCTGCTCCATATAAAGCTGTACACATCACACACAAAAATCAAAACAAAATTAAAAAAAAATATTGAAAATATTCCTAAATTTAATGTAAATTATTAATCTTGTACTTAGACTATTGACATTTTAATTTAAGTAACAAAACACACCTTATGAAATGATTGATGTTTAAGAAATGGAAATAAGCCTCTCTATTTTGTTGACATTTTCAAACACACTTTCTCCCTAACCCCTACCCCTAACCCCCTCTAAAAAAAAAAGGACCAAGGGGGGGAAAAAGGGGTTTATTAAAATATTTTATTGAAAAATTATATATCTCTATAAACATGGAGAAAGTTAGGGACAAAACGAGTTTATCCAAATATTTTTGACGAAAAATCGGTACATATACCTCTAGAAGCATAGATGGAGTTGGGAGAAAAAAAAGAATTTATCTGAACCTCTTCGATGAAAAAATCAACATACCCTATCAACATGGACATAGTCAGAGTTAGGGGTAAAAATGATTTATCCGAACCTCCTCGACAAAATATACTATATATACCATACCCCATGAACACTAATAGAGTTAGGGATAAAAGGGGTTCATCCTAAATAATTTTATTAAAAAATTATACTATATATATCAAATGAATATAGATGGAGTTAGAGGCAATAAAAAATAATAATTTATCCCAATACAATTTGGTGAAAAGTTTATTGATTTTTTCTTATTGAAAATTCTAACTCAATCACTGACGTTAGAAAAAGAAGAGAAGAAAAAAGAGCATACATGATTTAACAGAATCATCATTGCTCATCTTAACTCCTTGTAAAACAATAGCTTCTTCCAATTCTCCAAAATCAAAAGTTGGTGGTTCTTGATCACTACTATACAACACCAAAAAAATCACAAATTGTCAAAAAACATAAAAATGGTAAAAATTAATTAAAATCCTCATAAATAAATATTGAAAAAAAGAAAGAATTTATATGTACTTTAGTGTGGAATGATACATGAAGCTTGTATTATAAGGCATGTTGTGATCAATTGACAAAGTACTTGTTGTATCTCCAATTCTTTGACTCTCCATGCAAATACCAACTAATTTTCAGATCTTAATTCTTACCTATAAAAAAAAATAATTAAGAAAAAATCCATTAGTTTGAAAAAAATACCCAATTTGTTTCAAGATAATATAGTAATTGTTTACCGAAAAAATCATCATTTTGATTAATAGCAAAATTTGTAAAAAAATTTCTTCTCAATTTTTTTTGATTGATCTTAATTCACTTGTCTTTAAAAGTTTTTTTTTTGTTGTTGGAAAAAGATGAAAATCAAGAAGAAACGTAACTTTTTGAAATAATAACGGTTAGTTAGTGATCATACGAGAAATCAATCCAAAAATATAACAAGAAAACTTACTCCATGTTTTACCTAAGTTTAAGGATCTTCTTGAATAAAAACCAACTTTTCTTCAGAAGCAAAGAGACTAATAAATAGTAGAAAGAAGCTAAAAAGATCAAATCTTTATAGTCAATATATATAGCTTTTTTTCTATTTTTTTTTTAAAAAAATATCTATAAAAATAGAAGCACACCAGCAAGAGGGGTCCAAAGAATTTGTGTTTTTTTTTCTCTTCTAATTGTATATCTCTTGTTGTAGGTATGACAAATACACTTTTTGATCTTTCTTTCATATGGGTCTTTATCTAAGAAAATCACCTTTAAAAAGAGGACGATTCTATACACAAAAACATTTTCCCCTTTCAAGTTGGAAAAAAAGAAGTAAGACCCGTGTGAAGCTTTAGTGCTCCTAGCCCTTTTGGAAGATTTGAAAATTTCAATATTTTATACTATTAAGAATAAAGTTATTTCATTATGAATCAATAAGAAATTTATATAATAAAATATGATTTTTTTCATCTCAGTTTCATCGAATCAGCTCACTGAAACTATTGAAATAGTGGGAATACCCACCGAATATAATTTTTTTCATTAATTCAATCAAAAAATTTGTGAGAAAAGCCCTTCGACATAGTTTTAAGTCAAAAAATAGTAATTCTTTAATATTGTCAAGAGGCATGATATAAATAACCGCTTCTATGACTCGATAAAGTAAAAAATTCTAATGATTATTTTGTTTTAATGGAGGTATTGATTTTCTCAGTCTATATATTTCAATTTATATGGTGATATTTAATAGATGAAAAATACTATTATCCCAAATGAGTACTCCCAAATCCCAATTTGAGGCACAATTCCCACATTATAATTTTTATTTTTATTTTCTCTTAATAGGACAATTTATAATCCTATAAATATTAAGAATCAACTACTTTAGTTTAAAAGTTTTCAAAATTAACACACATTCAAATAATATTACATAAATTAAAATAAAATAATGATATTTTTGTTTATATAACAATTGAAAACAAATCAAATAAAAAAAAATATACAAGAAAATGGGTGTGGCCGTGGGGTCATTAGCCCGAACCCGTTATAAAATTTTAATATAAATTTAAATTAATTAAATTTCAAAATGAATATCGATAAAAAATAAAATAAAATGGTACCACTAGAACAAGTGACTCCACAAACTCTCTCTAATAACCGCCTGTGTTTTCTTATTGGTCACTTTTTCAATGATTTGCAGGTACTAGCCATACAAAACAAAATAAACAAATAAAAAAATATTTTCTATACAACAAATTCTGTTTTACATAAAATATTTTTGAATAAAATATAAGAGATGAGCCAAAGTTCTCTTTCATCATAAATTATTATATTATATGATAAGATTAAAGTTGGAGAAAAAAGGTAGATAGTTGTTCCCTTGATTTAAATGTTAGTTTAGGTAATGGAGAAATATGATCGGTGAGAATTTATTATAGTTGATTTATTTGAAATCGAGATATAGTATTGTTTAAACATATCACATCAACTACAAAATTGTTATCTATTCATTCATATGAATATTTAGGAATTTCTTTTGTTTGTAGATCTTGAAACAAATTAATATTTATCGAGTGATGAATTATAAATTTTCAATTCATTTTGTAAGGAAGGGTGAAGGAATAAATCTATTATCCATCGAGTTATGAATTTTACTTTATCTAATTTTCTTTTAACAAATTTATTTATAATAAAAAAGATAAAAAGTAAATTTTATAACTCGATGGATAATAAATTTGTTAGCCTATACTTCCCTACAAAATGGATTGAGAATTTACAATTTTGGTTTTAGCTAATTATTAAACCAAAACTTGTTTAAATGGAAAAGGCACTCAACTAATTGTGTTCTAAAATTAATTAAACTAGTTGAAATGGATTTGTTTGGTATTTATCTGTTTTGTTGACATGTCAACATCTAAACCTTGTCATCACCTAAAACTCAAGATTCTTTTCCCTTAATTAGAAATTTGGTTAAGTGGACTTTACCATTTAGTATTATTGATAATGATAATTAATTAGGGTTCCTTTTTTGGGCAACAAGAGGTATGATGCTTGCCTCTATTATGTCAAATAATGTTACTCACTTTGTTTTGAGATTATGATTAATTAATCTGAATTCATGCCGCATAAAATGATAAGCATTTTCATTCCTAAAGTTCGAATTTGTGTACATTCTCTTGTTAAGAGTTGATAGATCTTATTAATCTCATCACTAGTCTTATTGGTGTTACTTATAACTCTTCATTTTCTCTTTGTATCTTGCTCAATGTTCGGTATTTATTTTGGAGCTTTGATTAAACTTAATCAAGTGTCATAAAAAGAAAAAATGCTTCCTATATAAAAAAATCATTCTTAGGTTTCAAAGATTAAGTAAAAAAGGCATAGTTTAAATATAAAACTAATATAAACGTAATGATTTACGAGAGAGATTTTAGACTGTCGTGATTGGCACCCACACTAACACTCCGGTGGGAGAACATCTACTATGACTCAAACCAAACAACTAAACCAGAACTAAGGCATATAAATCAAACACTAAGGAAATAAAAATAGAGTTGCCATAAACTCTAACAAAAGTCTAACAATAATAACTAACAATGCGGAAGAAATAACCTAGAACCTGAAAGTCAATGTATCAAAACATCTAACAATGAACCAAGTCTAAACAAGAAGGAATGCAACGTCTAACTAATGTACTAATAACTAAAACAACTGTCTAGGTCTGGAAATGGTGGACATAGACGAAAGAGAATTTCATGACAGCCTGGAAGAATTGGCTCACCTTTGAATTCGAAGCGACGATCACTGATCTTCTAAGCGAGGTCTGTAAGTAGCCGCTTGAAGATGCACTGTACTCAACAAAAATAAGAGCAAGTGCAGAATCAGTACACAACTACAGTGTACTAGTAGGATCACACGGCTATCCCACTAGTGCAACATAAACAAGTCAAACAACATTATAATCACATGCATATATATCAACGTATACAATATTATCAACATTTACGAACAACGACCAACTTCACATTTTATATCAAATCATTGGTTCTCTCATGGAACCCAAACGCAAACAATGAGCATGCTAGAACATGACAATCGATCCCATATTTATATAGGAACATGGCAACTGATCCCATTTTTATGCCGAAACGTGGCAACCGATCTAAGTTAGTTATGCCGGAACGTGGCAACCGATCCTATTCACACATCACAATCACAATCACAAGTATATCATCAAGATCATACATTTAAGTCATGATTTCATAGCAATCATCATTCATTGTCTCAGTTACAGCAAGTGTGATCAACATTGCAACATTCATATACATACACGTATCATAATGAAGCAAGAACAAGCATACATCACACAATCATAGAATCACAACCATCACCTACCTTGAAACAAGCTTGAAACCCTAAGAAACTTGATCCTTCCCTTTCTGGATCCGTTTCGCTTGTTCTTGGTCTACAACAATCAATATAATACGAAAATCAATAAACAATCACTAATTACCCGAATTACTAACAATTCTATGAACCCTAGATCATACCCATGATCTTAATTATCCATTTTAGGGTTGTTTCCACCATAGAATCTATAACAAAACCTTCCCCCATCAATATTCACCCATTCTATTACGTTCTATGAATCGAAAAACGGATTCATGGAGTGAAAAGCTTACCTTTTTAGCCTCAAGAATGGTGAAAAATGAGTAAGAGTCGCCTGGGGGTCGTGCTCTAAAAGTTGAAAAGTGCCAAATAAGGTCGTTTAGGGGTTTATTTATGACTTTAAGTCGCATTGGTCCCACTGCAGCGGCCCTCACCCCGCTGTAACGGCCCTGACAAATCGACCAGAACCTCCACCCCAGCGGCTTCCGCGTAACATTTAGCTATTCGTCTTTCGTCTACGATTTTGAGTCTTGTCGTACCCGCCACAACGACCATCATCCTGTGCGACGGCCACGCTAGAGTGGCAACTATCCCGCCAAAGCAATCCAAACGAAACCATAGAGCTAATTAAAAGAATTTCAAAATCCCATTTCACATCACACCTCTAAACCACGACGATCAAAAAATACCCTTTACGCTAAGATCGATTCCAAGAGTTCTACTCTCCCAAATTCAATTCCGTAAAGTCGTATGGATTCTTTATCGAGTTATTTAACCACTCATGTAATCAAAACCATAAGAGATCCACCCGATTGTTACCAGATTTCTCTACACTTAAAAGACTACGATTTCGTCCAAATTTGGACAAGGTTGGAAAAATTCAAATACTATGGAAAAAAAATTCGACCCCAAATTTTCCCCCGCTGACTTTCCTATAACGACGGAAACGGGTCGTTACATATCCACATTTGGAACCTGATTATTCTGAATTAGCGACGCAAGGACCCCGTTCGGAGGAAAGCACTCTCTGCCAAAATTTTTACCATATCCAAAACTCGTAATCAAAATCTGTGATTAAGAAAGTGGTTTAGAGAATTTTGTTTCTCATGGTTGAAGGTAAATTTTGTGTAAACACTAGATAATGGCTTAACATTCTGCACATAAAAAAAATTCAGACTGTAAAAATAATTATAATCTACAAATGGACCCATATATATATGATAAAGTTCATTTAGTTGGAAATTGGAATATACAAAAAAATTAT